CTGCACCAAACTTGCACTGTAGCAAAAGGTTATGTACGGAAAATTTTGTAAACAACTTGTGGTAATTCTCCGTAGGACCGACCTTACAGTGTTCTCTGTAGGACTATACAGTCTCCCCCCAGGTCCTACAAAAAAGACGGAGAAGACTGTAAGGTCCCACGGAGAACATTGATAAGGGAGCTACAGAAAATCTTGGCAAAAATATGAACAGAATTTTCCGTACTTTTCTGCTACAGAGTGCGTAGTCCAAGGGGAAATAACTCCAGCCAAATTTGTACACCGAAATTCATCAAACATGTGAAATTCACTGAAATGTGTGAAAATTCATCGAAATTTGACTGATAACCATTGAAATTCGACTGAAAGTCATCGAAATTCGACCGAAATTCATTTGATTTGTACACTGAAATTCACAGTGGTTTTCCCTTGGCGTAGTCGTAGTCCTGATCCACTGCTTTGCCACTATTTTGGCAAGCAAACTTGCCACCGGCTTTCCAGTCTCGCCGCGAAGCTCTCAAAGCCTTCAAAGGGGATGACGGCGCCCGCTTTGTGTGAAGAGCCAGCCACCTGCTCACCTTCGCATATTAGCCACAGCAGCATGATGAGAAAATGCGACCACATTTCCTTCAACTTCCCCAGGCAAACGTCAGAATTTCACGAGCTGATTTGTGTATTGCGCCATTTGACGCGGGCGCTATTCTCTTTGTAGCCAAAACAAACACACACACACACACACACACACACACACACACACACACACACACACACGCACACACACACACACACACACGGCGGTATGCGCGTTGCCCGGCACAAACAAACAAGAGGGGAGCGCCCTCCCCCCTCGCCCGAGCCCTCACCTGTCCGTCACAGAGAATGACGTGGGCCGATCCCCTATAGCGAGCGATACATTACTGACCCGATTCAGTGCCTGTCTTCACAGCGCTTGGTGGCGCTGGGCGGGCCAAATCCAGAGCGGGGCACCGCGTTCAGTGCGCGCTTCGACGGCCGCACAGTGGGCCAGAAGACCAGTGGAGGCGGTCAAAATCCTGGACGCGTTTTGAACTCCAGAGTCACTGTGGGACTCGAACCGAACGAGTAGGCTGCAACAAACCTACCATCACCCTTCAAGCGCCTGAGAGGTAGACCACCGACAGCCTGCAACGCATCAGTGTCGAGACGGTAGCCTACCTTGCCCCTGTGCAGACGAGGGGCAAGGTAGGCCACCGTCTCCGCAGCGGTGTCTTGCAGACCAGGCCGGCGGCCTACCAGTCAGGCGCTACAGGCCACAAGGAAGCTATGCTTGTCTCGAAACTGCCATTCGCTTAATGAGACTCGAACCGAACGTGTGACCCCGCCAATGGATTGCTCTCCGAACGTACAATCTATTGGTGGGGTTACACGTTTGGTTCGAAGTCCTGTTCAGTGACTCTGGAGCTCAAACGCGTCTCGAGTTCTGGCCGGCTGCGCCGGTCTTCCGGCCCACTGCACTCTCAATCTTCTATAGACTTTTTATTCTATATTATGAAAATTTTTTTCTGTGGCTTAGTGATTTTAGAGCGTAACTATAATATAGTAAAAAATCACGGTATTTTGCTGAAAAAAATCTCTGTGAGCTGCAGATAATTTCATGAAGGAAAATACAGTATTACAGACAAATATTTACTACAGCAATAGTAATTTAATATCATCAGTGGACAGATACGAGAAAAAATGTCAATGACAACAGAATATATTGTCTGTGCATACAGTAAAACTATTCCACAAGAACAGTGAAAATTCTTTGTGATGCACAGAAAAGTTAATCTGTAAGTCTACAGAAAAATATTTTGGAATTGTTTGGGAACTTCGATAGTGCTAAAATGGGTTCAATAACTTCTTTATTTCCCATCCAAACCTATGTCATGCCCTGACATTTTCTGTTCGCCTTGTCAATACAAATCAATTGCTGCAAATAAATGCCCATTTGGGCCACTTAAATTCACTCATTCATCTTTTACCGTGGTACACGCAGTATAATATAAGTACCACATTACTTTTCCATAATCTACAGTAAAAAACACTATATTCATGAAAAATGTTTACGGCATTCACAGTTATTTTTCTCTGTAGGTTTTTACTGTGCTTTACAGAAGATAAAGTCAATAAAACGTTTTAAGTTAGTTTGCTGTATATTTTTACTACGGCTAATCGTAAATTTCACTGTGACTACAGTAAATTTCTTTTTACTATAGACATATTGGAAAAAAAGTCCATAGAGATGCTGAGAGTGTGTGCGCCAGGTGGCGCTACTGCGTTGAAATGATGGCGCGCTTCTTCGCCCAACCGCAGCCGAACGATGCCCGAATGAGATAAACCGGAGAAAAGTGCCGCGGGTAACGGTCACTGTTTTCGACCGGCCGAGGAGCGCCCGCTGCGCTTGACGCCCGCGGGCACCATGAATCAATCAAGCAATCAATCGGCGAATCAATGAAACGGACAATAAATGCAGCAGGAAATATGAAGAATGTGGCGTCAATAAGTGAACGAGGGACAAGGAAACAGGGTCAGCGGCGGGGAACCCCCGCACTTTACAAATATTGTACGAGACACTGTGTTTAGTGCACGTGAACTCTTTGTGAACGTTAACACAATTGCCCCCCCCCCCCAAAAAAAAAAATAATCATTCATTTATTCATGATTAAATGGGCAATGAATGAATGAATGAATGAATGGGGGTTAAATGCGTGCAAAGTATGTACAATGTGAGTGGATGAGCGCCATTAATTTCCGCAAATGAGTTGATCAAGGGGGAATAATCCAATGAATTTCAGTCGAATTTCGATGAATTTGGGACAAAAACAACTGAATTTTCAAAAGAATTTCGATAAATTTTGATGAATTTCGTTGAATTTCAGTAAATTTTAAACGTTTGATGCCTTGGGGTTGGTACAGTACATTAAATGTGATAACGAGTCAATGCATGCGACGAAATAAGTGAATGACTGCAGCGAAAAAATGAACAACGACAGAGAGTGCGGGGCACAGAGAATGAATGAAAGGAGGGAGAGAGACAGGGAAGGTCGGGTGTGCCCGCAGACTAGCCCAGACAGACGGGTCGTCGCCTCGGCGCCGCCACGGGGAGGGGTCGGAGGGGCAGATGATGCGGTCCTACCCCTCCTCCTACCCTTGCCTCCCTTTTGCAATTTTCGGAGGGGGCAACGGCCCTTGTTACGACTGGCTGGGGGTATCGAGCGCCCAGCCCTTCCCAGCCCTTCCCTGCCCTACCTACCCGGCCCTAGGACGGCGGCGGGGGTTCCAGACGGACCCCGCGGGATGCAGGATCGGCTTGGGCGGGGTTGGGTGGGTGGGGGGTGGGGGTAGGGAAGGGGGACGGGGGGGGGGGGGGAAGGGGGTGACTCCCGCGTCGCGTGGAAGGGGCGCTGTGGTCTAGGGCGCGGTCGCACGCCAATATAAAAGCACCATTCGCTGCTTGCTCGCCGTCGTGTCGTTGTTGTGGGGGCGGAAAATGCAATCGGCAGTCATACGCTTTGAGTCGCGGTGTGATTGGCCAACCCGAGCCCAGGTGAGAAGGGACCCCCCCCCCCAAACACACAAACACCACGCCCCGCCAGCCTCCCCGCGCCTCGGCCGCGGCCAAACGGTTCATTGACCAAGGTTCACATGGCCGCTGGGACGCTGTAAAGGGCGCGGCCGGTGCGCTTTACGAGTTCGAACGAAGCTGTCTAGAAACCGGCCGAGGAAAAACGGGCGTCCAAATTGTGTTTCGAGGGAGGAATCCGGTGCGCGGCTTTTGCCAAAGGAGAAATCACTGTGAATTTCGGTGTACAAATCCAATGAATTTCACTCGGATTTCCATCGAATTTTGATGAATTTCAGTCAAATTTCGATGAATTTTAGTCGAGTTTTTGTAATTTTTACATGTTTGATGAATTTTGGTGTGCAAATTTGGCTGGAGTTATTTCCCCTTGCTTTTGCCTCGGCTTTTAGCCGCCAGATTTCGTCTCTTTTCTCGACGATCATTTCGCGAAAGAGAATGCGCCTTACAATGGCGGGCCGCCTATCGCCGCCAGTCTCCATTTCCGGCGGACCAGCAGACTGATTCCGAGAGTCGTTTTCGTCACTCTGTCTCTCTCGTCCTCATGGAGCGTTCCGTATAGGTGCGAGAGAGATGGAGCGACGGAAACGACTCTCGGAATCAGTCTGCAGTGGACCGCCTTTTGTTGAGCAAAGGCCCTTGCCAGAGATGAGCCCCAGCCTCGTCCACTCTTAATAGCGATAACAATAACAATAATTGGCGTTGCCGTGGAAACAGAAGAGCGAAGAAAGAATTGGGACAGGGCGGGCGGCTCCTCGTTCACCAGTGCATTCCCCGCAAGAGCAAGCCTGGCTTCAGGGCGTGGCGGGGCGTGGCGGGGCGTGGCGGGGCGTGGTGCGCCCAGAATGCACCGCGCTGCAGCGGCCCCCTCCACCAAGGACTCCGCAGGGCACAGCCTGGGGAAGGGCAGGACGCGTCTGGCGGGCCGCCCTGAACCGCGCCGCCGCACAGTGGGCCAGCAAAACTCTAGACGCGTTTCGAGCTCCAGAGTCGCTAAACAAGACTCGAACCGGGCGTGTGACCCCACCAATGGATTCCTCACTCGGGTGGTAATCCGTGGGGTCACACGTTCGGTTCGAGTCCCAGTTAGCGACTGCGGAGCTCGAAGCGCGTCCGGGATTTTGACCGCCTCCACCGGTCTTCTGGCCCACTGTGCGCCGCCAGGCTGTACGCCAGGCTACGCCAGAGGCGCAGCCGCTACGCCAGGCCCGCGCGCAGCGTAGCCCCGCCGTGGCCAGGCCGTGGCCTTAGCGTGGTGCCGGGGTGCGGTGAGCGCAGCGGCCATTGGCGCGGGAGTTCTTTCAGGGAATCGCTAGGGCCGTGCACGGCGCGCGCAGCGGGCGGGAGGGGCGGCCGCGCCACGCCACTGCGAGGCACGGCAGCCGCCACGCCGCCACCGCCACACCGCACCGCCGCCAGTCAGTGTTGCTCGGTCCGCCCAGCGAGACGGTCTCGGCACAGCGCGTGCGCTCGGTCATGGTGTTCTCCGTTCCCGCGGTGTTCCCGACTTCGGCGTTGTTTTGTTTACAATCCGCGCATCGTCTGCAGTGTGACACCGCCCCCTGACGGGCGCCAGTTTAGTGAATTCGCCGCACAGCCCGACCGCTGCGCGGCTAGTGAAGTGTGTGTGGCATTCCCCCAGGCGGGGCTAGTTGAATTTAGTGAATCTTGTGACGTCTGCTGCTGCTGTTGTTATTGTTTTGTTGGTGGAGCAACAAACAGTGTCGTGCATCCGTGGCGTGAGGCCGCGGCTTTTTCCAGTGGTGTGATTCCCAGAAGCATCGTGGCGTCCTCACGGTACCAGGACTACCG